TTATATATATACATATATATATACATATATATACATATATATACATATATATACATATACTATACACACACACACACACACACACACATTACCTTAACCCCCAAGTTAAGGACTAAAGAATCCTTGATTAAAATTAACATATTACATCAAAGTGTAGTCTATAGGCTTTAAACCTAATACACCATCAATAAAAGGCAACTCTGCCACTAAACGTGAGAGCAACCAACTCTACAACCAAGCTTCTATACATTCTTATTGTATGTAAATCTTCAAACAGACTATAACTATACAACAATTATCTCAATACAAACAGTCATTTCTTTCCTAAACTTTCATCATTTATTGCGAGAATCATTTTTACCAACAAAGAGAAATATACATAATACGTGGGTTTGGGAAAATGCACAAACTAAAAACTGACAGCGGGTGCAGTCAGGAAAAACTATCAGCCGACATCAGCATTTCAAAAATGCTGGACATTTTTCGCGTCGCCATGGTAAAAATAGTACCATAACTGCACTCATGGTATGGAAGTGTAATTTTAATTGCCTTCATGGTAAAAATACTTTTAACAGGGGAAGCTTGCTTAAAAATAGATTCTTTACCCGACACTTTAAATTGAAAATCTTTTCAACCAGGTTAATAAAGAGACTTTTAAGTCTCCCACAGCGCAGGTATGTTCATTTATCCATACAGGTGACATACAGTGTTCTTTTAACCAGCTACACGGCTCAAACTGTTCATTTAACCGGAGTGGTAGTATACAATGTTCATTTAAACGGCTTCACAAGATAACTATTTCCCTTTAATCTGAATGGTGGTTCTGACTATTCTTTTATAAACAGGCTCCTCAAGGCAAGTTACATTCATTTAAGAGTGATGGAACACAAATATTGCTGGAGGTAAGGCGGACTTACACTGTTCAACTTGTGGAATGATAGTGTGAGGTACCTCAGAGGAACCATCAACGATTGATGAAGGGAAAAAAAACTACAATCTTTTCATGAAACCTGTCTCCCTCCCTTTCATACCCCCAGTTATGTATTATATATTATATATCTACTCCTGGTTTCCTACCACATCCCACAGTCTACCTCCACAACGGCGAATCTAAAGAACACACAACCTTCTAGATCACAATCGTCCTTACCTCCCCTCCCCCATATTCCACAATCTCTCACGTAAGTCACAACGTACGAGGTTATCTCTCCATATCTCTCCTCCGTTACCTTCTTATCACCGATGCTCTACTACCTAACTAACTTTCATCATGAGATATTTTCACTCTCGCATATTTCTCTCACATGTGACGTCTTCTGGCCCAGGATTTGAGACTTCACCACTAGCTGCTGCAACCAAAGTTCCCTTTCACGAAGTGTGCATTGATGCCGGTGAAGAGTTCTCGAGCCCAGAAACTGGAGCTGCTGTGGAGAAATTTTCTCCAGGAGGGGGGTATCAGCCCCCTTCAGCCCCGAGGGGCCCAGCCCTCTCAGAAGGGGCAAATATCTTGTTTACTGCTACAGTGAGTAATTGATCAAAGATGCTGTACGAGTATGCGTGGTCAAATGACCTCTGCTCCTTGCAGTCCAGTGTTGCAAAGTGCATTTTTATAAGAGACAGTACATCTCTTACTTTAGCAGGACAATTAAGGAAAATCCTGCTCCCACTTTATTACCATAGTAAAGATAGTAGACATTGTTGTCTATGCTTAAGACAGCAAGAATCAAACATTCTGCTTTGCTTCATCGAGGAAGTGGCAAGGAAGCAAAAAGTACTAGGTCAGCTTTTTTTTGTGCTAGGGGAGCAACGGCGTGGGGCGCTGTGGCGTCTTCAGATTACTTTTGACTCTACTGAGAGTGACACTGACGCCAGGATAACCAACAAAGAACACTGATCTGTGCGTTAGTGTGGACAAAGTGTCTCACAAAACACGATAAACACTTACAAAGAAGTGTGATCAACTTCTTAGTGATATTGTGTGAACAATTGTTGATGAACAGTGTAACAACGAGTGTTGCGATCCAACAGAGTGTAGTGCGACATTCTTCAAAGAACACTATTCTTCAATCAACTCAACGGATATCCGGGCGTAATTACGGGTCAGATACATATACCCAGGTAAGTGTTCTAACTCGTGATGTACTACTATTGACTGCGCAGTTGAGTATAAAGTCGTGAGTTAGTCACTTATCATAAACCCCGGTGATATGCGGACCATCGAGTCCACACAAGTAGGTATTTTGTCAGCCATCAGTGAAGGAAATATGCTGACATAACACCCCCTAGGGGTAATTTATAATCTTACAAATTATATTTCTTGACAGCCCATGTTGAGATGGTTTCGACAGCTTCTAGACCTCGTCTGCAGGGGCGGCTGTGCAGGTGATGAGTTGTCCTTTTAGGTTAAGTATAAGTCTTTAAAACTTAACTGGTAATGCCATTTCTCAACAGCTGCCATCCTCTTCCTCGGATGAACAACAATTACGCTTGCCAGCGAATGTAAGCTAACTCCAACACCATAATATTATCGTTATTGTGATCATAATTTATAATAAGCAGCATTATCATTATCGTCAACTGTGGCACCACCACCACCACTAGCACTGCAACCACCCCATCAATACCACTATTCTCCCAGCACCACCACCACAACCATCAACAGTGTTAGCATCACAACCAGCATAACCTGAAGTTTGGACAGCATCAGTAGTGACAACAGTAATGATAACACCAGCAGTAATAACAGCATCAGCACCACGGATGGCAGCATCACCAACGCTGCTATCTGCTTCCACCGCTTTGCACACACACACAGCCTCCTCCTTTTATTTTAATCGATTACAGATTACGTTGATGGGTGGATAGAAAGAGTGAGGGATGGAAAGAGTGATGGATAGCAGAAGCGATGGATGGAGGCCGGAGGGACGAGAGAGACTGGGATAAGAGCACTGGGAAAATGTTTTCTGAGCAAACATCCCAGAACTTGTGTTAGCTCACAGAATGAATGTGCTCCACAGATGGCTCCAGCCTCACCCTCTGGCCTACAACCACCTTACTTACCCATCTATTTGCACGTATTTCCGCTGAGTTCTTATGATCGTTGCTTTCAAATCTTTGTTAATTTTATTCTACAGTTGCTGGGACAAGTGTAATAGTCTCCAAGAGGAAACTGGGCAAATATCTTTACCAGGTGCCAGATCAACCAGGCTGTGATGGATATGTGGGGCTGCGGGCCACTAAGAGCAAAGGCCTCGATGACCAGACGAGCTTGGCCTGGAGTTTAAAGAAAAAGAAAAAAACACTCTCGGAACTCAAAGGAATAAATATTGTTTTTATTGAGCGTTACAACACACACACACACACACACACACACACACACACACACACACACACACACACACACACACACAATAAGTTAAAAGACCTACTGCGGATAGTAGCGAACCATATATAAAAGTCGTTTTTCGCTAACACGCATACCTATCATAAAGTTTGATAAATTATGCACAATATGTGGAGAATTAGCACCTTTTCACCGATGAGAAGCACTTCACGGATTCTCTTAGGTTTGAAGAACTGCCAGCATCACCATTTTTGCCCTTGGGGGGCCATTATTAAGCAATATTAAGGGTTATTTTCAGGCCATGGTCAACAGCGGATAACTGAAACAGAAGAAATCGAACCCGCGGATACGGAGGTCCTGGTGTATATATTTTTCACGGCTGTGAGCAAGCGTTGGGTGACCTACGCGGTCACAGTGATCATTAAATGTCAATTGCCTATTTGCATTCCCCTATTTCTGACTGAAGGGGTTATGTCCCAGCTCCTGATCTGGCCTCTCAATTACTTATGAACTGTTGACACTATTCCTAGCAACACTTGGGTATTTTCGTGGAAACGTTTCGCCAACCACTGGCTTCCTCAGTACAGTACAAAGAAGAATGGTTGAAAATCAGGAGGAGTTTGAGGTAATCAGTCCCTCAGCCTGGAGTCTACGTGATCAGTCCACGTGTCCACAATGAAGATACCTAAATATTGCACAAGTGTAATTCATCGTCCAGTCTGTTCTCCGAACCATTTATCTATACTATTCCTGGCCTCGTGGGCCATATTATACTCTTAAAACTGTATAGATCGCTTCCTCATCCGGACTATAAAAACTTCTCTAGCCATTCTCAAACTTCAGACATCGCTGTGTATCAGTTGCGTCGACTGCCATGCCCCCTTGTCACTACTACTTTAATTTCAGTCCGCCCAATCGAGACGTCCCAGTATCCCGCACGTCGTTATCACGTCTCCCCTGGTTCTTCTTTCTTCCAGTGTTGTAACAAGATGAGAAAGACATGTGCAACAGTAGGGTATTATTATTGAACCGTTTCGCCTACATAGTAGACTTCATTTAAAGACAGAGAATAAGTATGGAGACAGCATCAGTAGTGATGGAGAGGAAAAGCTGATGTGATCAGTCCATCAACCTTGAAAGAGCGCTTGAGGTGGTCAGTCCCTCAGCCTGGAGAGCAGTTCAGCTCCATAGTCTGGAACAATGTTTCAGGCTGAGAGAATCACCACCACAATACCTCCTTCAAGCTTGCTGGACTAATATCACCAAAAATTCGCAACCATTACCGCTGCTCTCCATATTTATTCTCCGAGTGAACAAGCCTACCGTCTAGGCGGAACGTTTCAACAATAATGATACCCTACTGTTGCATATGCGTCTTACTCATCAACTTGATTATCAAATGGTATACAATATCGACAGGTTGGTAGATAAGACACATAGGCAACATTTAGGCAACTTTATTCCGAAACGTTTCGCCTACACAGTAGGCTTCTTCAGTCGAGTACAGAAAGTAGGCGGGAGCGGTGGAGATGTGAAGACGATGTAATCAGTCCATCACCCTTGAAGTCGTAGATTTGAGGTTGTCAGTCGCTTGATCTTCAGACAGTTCCAGACTTTGGAACAGAACTTCTCCAGGCTGAGGGACTGACAACCTCAAATCTACGACTTCAAGGGTGATGGACTGATTACATCGTCTTCACATCTCCACCGCTCCCGCCTACTTTCTGTACTCGACTGAAGAAGCCTACTGTGTAGGCGAAACGTTTCGGAATAAAGTTGCCTAAATGTTGCCTATGTGTCTTAACTACCAACTCATCAACTTGTCGGTATTATATACCATTTTCATCAATTGTAAGGCTCCGTTCCCTTTCCTTAAGCTTTGTACAGTTTCAAAACATGTTTTTTTTTGGTGAGGGAGGGGCCTCCATGATAGTGACGGGAATGAGATATGGCGTATATTTTGTGATGAAGGACTTAGCCAAGGTACATGAATGATTGTTTACCAGGGGCGCTCATGCTGCTTGCAGTTATACAGTGCCTGCTGTTATAGTTACTCTTGGGTCCTCTTTTCTGGGGTAAGTAGCTTCTACCTTTTCTTTCCTCCCCTCCTCAGTACATGGTGTCCCTCCACCCACGATATTCACAGCCTTGTACTTCATGATGTTGAAAGTTAAATAACCACCTACCTAATCATTCCTGCAGCCTACCCAGACTCTTTTCTAGCCTTTCCCGTTTTCTTTATTTAGCTTTCTCGATAATTTTACGTAGTCAGCAAACAGGACTGACGGCCAGGTCGGTAAGCAAGCCCAGTTTATTATGCTCTGCCTGAAGGAGCTTTTTTTTAATTTACCTCTTGAAGCAACTAGGGGTCTGCGGTTCATTGTCATTACCTGTATATAACAGTTGTCTTGGGCCTTTGCACTTACAGAAACTATTCCTTAGTGTTGTTTTAAAGCATATCTTCATTAAATTGCCGATTACTTCTCTGAATTTATAAGGTTGAAGAACCAGCTAATTTTATCCAAGTTTGGACGTTTAAGAATGAGCTGGTATTGTCCAATTTTATGGTTCTAATCCATGTTGGTTTAGCAATTTACTAAACCTTAAAGTTTATCATCTCCCTCGCTGCTTGCATAAATCCTTAGTCTCGAACTTGACCAAATTTAGGTACAAGTTTATATCATAATGATGGGGCAAACTCGTGTTGATTCGCTTCCCTTCAAAAGCAGTGATGGGGCGTCTTCAAGCTGTTGAAGGGCTCTTGATCCAAGAACTATTATTCTGAAGATTGAGACACTTATGCAACATATGGGAATCTTTATTCAGGAAACGTTTCGCCACACAGTGGCTTCATCAGTCCAATACAAAGTAGAAAGGCGTAAGGAGAGGAGTAGTTTGAGGTAATCAGTCCCTCAGCCTGGAGTCGATGTGTTCAGTCCATCAATCTTGTAAAATGTACAGCATAGGGCCGTAGACGTGGCTTATATACTGTAGTGAGGTGAGGTGAAGCAGGAGGAGGTGGGGTCATAGTGGTACCATCCACTAGTCGAAGTAGGTCTTCGTCCAAAGGTTGGACAAGTGGTGAAGAATTCTTTGTAACAAGATCCCATGATGCTGCAGTGTCTGACGGTTGTGATGGTTTGAAAAACCGACAAGTTGAAGATTGAGACACTTATGCAACATATGGGAATCTTTATTCAGGAAACGTTTCGCCACAGTGGCTTCATCAGTCCAATACAAAGTAGAAAGACTTAGTGGATGGTACCACTATGACCCCACCTCCTCCTGCTTCACCTCGCCTCACTACAGTATATAAGCCACGTCTACGGCCCTATGCTGTACATTTTACAAGATTGATGGACTGAACACATCGACTCCAGGCTGAGGGACTGATTACCTCAAACTTCTCCTCTCCTTACGCCTTTCTACTTTGTATTGGACTGATGAAGCCACTGTGTGGCGAAACGTTTCCTGAATAAAGATTCCCATATGTTGCACAAGTGTCTCAATCTTCAACTTGTCGGTTTTTCAAACGATTTATCACAACTATTATTCTGTACGAAATCTGATTAATTTACATTCCACAGGTGTTGTACAACTTGTACGAGTTTCGAACTGGAATCAGTGACCGGATATACCCCTGGTCTGTTTTGAAAGTTTTCCTATTCCCGCGTCTCGGTCTCGGACCAGGATTGTCTGCTACTTTCCTGACCAAGCTGTTGTTGCTGGTTGACCTCTGGCCCACATATCCATCACATCCTGGTTGATCCGGCAC